CTCGGGCTGAATGTAAAAAACAATAACATGAATAATTGCTTGTAAATTCAAATATTTGATGAGGGTTTCCCTGTATTCCATCAATGAAGCCTTCGGGGATCAAGAGACCAATGGGACCATCAAATTTAGGTTTCACGGGACCGATTATTCAGGAAAATTTTTTTCCAAGCCTCTGTGTCAACTCCAGCAAACTGGTATTTTTCGGAGGAAAGCTCTTTAATTCACCTTTAGTCGTCATCGTACTGAAACTAGAGGAGCCGATCTCAGACTTTATGGTGTCTATTTAGGTTAAAAATAATCCGAATTTTCTTGTTTTCAAATTTTGTCTGGAGCCTCGACTGTTAAAATCAGAAAACTCATCGTCCACCCTGAAATAACTCAGAAAGAAATTCTTGTGTGGGTGGTCTGGCTTACCCAGTACGGCGTGTTATGAGTATGTAAGGTTTCGGACGTAGATTTTCTACATGCGTGCGAAGTGACTGCTAAACAAGAAATTTTAGCAAACTTGTGCCTCAGTAGTGGTCAGCACTGCCGTCATTATGAGGAAAAACATCATATAAACTTACAATTGTTGCCAAATTTTCCCTATAAAAGTATCAGTTTTTAGATAAGTTTTGAATAGTCTGAATTAAAAATTTCAAATAATGTTCTAGATGAGACCGCGAACAAAAAAAAGAAAAAATGGTCTAAATTGTTCAAGAAAATCCGTTTTTATCAGAGTAAATTTTGCAACGTCCAAGGGCTTATACGGCGTTCTTGTGTTGCAAGACAGGGTAAGCCTTACACTGAAAGATGTCAGTCGTGGAGGAGAGGAAAATGCAGCAGGACACCGATCATCATAAAGTACTCACATTATACCAATTCGATGTTGACAGATAGCAAAGGATGTTCTCAAAATTTCATTTATCTTTCCAATAAAATTGGTCCAATTTCTGATAGATTCGACACCCTCGCGGTGACAAACAGCGGGTCGCGCTGCGAAAGTACGCAATTTACGTTGGATTCTCCGATCGACGGCCGCGGAGCACAGTGGACCGAGTCAATCAGAGAGGTCGGACGTAAAATTGTTGACTAAAACTGCAAATTTTGATACTTGATTCGTCACAATTTGAATTTTAAGGGGTGCTGCTTGAAGAAAATTTCACGAGGAAACGAACGGAACTATTATTAGAATCTCAAAGTTGTATATAAACGGAGTCGTTACGTTTTCAAAGTTTTCAAATTTTGTCCGACATCTCCCATTGACTCGATCCACTGTGCGGGAGCGTGGGAGGGAGGGCGGGAAAATGTAAACTGAGATGGAAAGTTCTTGATGCATTCAGCTGAAAAATGATTGAAATTAATTGAAAATAGAAGAAAAGAGGCGCAGGGAGAGACGAGGAAGAAAATAAGACGCTGATTAAAAACTGGTTTGAGCGAGATGCTAATCTCGTCGAGGCGTCGATAAATTCTGCCGAGTTGCAGACAGCCTACAAACGACAAAAGTCACATTTTGATCGAGGGGTCGAATGTTGAAGCTTAAGGTAAAAATATTGATTTCCACCATGTGTGACACCCCTCCCCCCCCCCCCAAAAAAAAAACACCAATCGTAGGGCAATGCTATAGCGCACAGAAAGCAGAGTGAGAGGACTGGACACTATTTTTTTGCGTTTCGGAAGTATGAGTGATCATTGGTGAAGCTAAATATTTGGTCAAAGTTTTATAACCCCATGTAATTTTTTCCCCTTCTCTCGTGATTAATCAATGCTATCAGAAATGTTTTTCACTTGCATTCCAATATTCGGATCCGATAATTGTCGCCCAAATTGTTCAAGTAATTTTACGTTGGCTCTGGAATATACATTTTCACATATTCCTTATACCTTCACACTAGTACTTTCTAGCGAAAGTAACACAATAGCTCGATGGAATCAAAATACAAAAACAAAAGGACACAAAATATGGGTAAATAAGACCAAAATTCGATGATTTGAAAAGCTGGTCGATGCCTTCTATACGCCGTTTTATAGTTACCTCTTCCTTCTACACCTTTTCACCGATCACTGACATACTGTACTAGTGTACTAATTGATAATGAGAAAGAATTAAATTTGACACACAATTAGAGTGAAAGCAGAGGTTCTTGTTATATCTACCCGTAGTTATATCTGCTTTTTCATTCGATAGTCGACAGAAAAGATCCGGAAAACACTGTTATAAGCAACCCTGGTTGCAACACTTCGTATTGGCGCAATCGAGTGCCTTGCGGCATGCGCATCGGACATAAATCAAGCAGAAAGTGCATTAGCTCTAAACAGAAACAATAGAAGGTCACAGCCACTCAACCCCCCTCCCCTTCTTCTCTTTCAGTTCACTATAGACGTATGGTAATGTTGAATAAACTAGTAACGGGAGCCTTGTAAGAACGAAGCTCTCTAATGCATGTTATGAAACGTAATAAGGAATAAAGTAGACGTAGGTTGTTTTTAACACCTTGTGTTGATTTGCAACAATAGTTTTTTTTTTAAATAAATTGTGCACCACAAGAAGGATAACATTGTGTAAAATTTGCTGACCCCGTCTTTAACACAGAGACAAAAGACCCTCTACTAGTATCTATTGGTAATGGTGGAAGCTTTTACTTTCGGGACTTTAGCATTCTTCTGTTGACTTGCCCACATGGTTGATTTTTAACAAAGTGTTGGCAGTTTCGTTTTGCAAACAAGCCAAAGTTTGGGAAACTTGTTTGGCTCACGACGTCACCCGAAGCTTATTATCCACCTTGTAGGTATGTTTATGTTAACAGCCGAAGTAAGAGTGATGACTGTTGCTCCCTTATAATTGTCCATAAGGAATTGTTGAATCCCCGAAAGTAAAAGGTTCAATCTGTCGCCAAAATCACAGTGGAGGCTCTCTTGTCTCTGATTTAACAGCTTGATGTCAAAGAAAACAAGCGGGAAAGTTCTAATACTGTCGTATTAGAAAAGCGCTCAGGTGTTAGTAAATGTATTTAATGAAGAAAGGGCGTATGAACTCCGTCGACTTGGCTGGGAAATGGAAATAAAACATCAGCTGAAAGCAAACAAAGGTTACCAAGGAAACCGGAAACGCGTATTTTTGTTTCCCGAAAATGAGCTCACCGTTGAGCTCATCAGGCGCGTTTTTTTTAGGCTTCATTTGAGTTCAACGATCAATTTCGATAAGAATTACTCTACCCCTAAGAAATTTTCTTATAGACAAACGATCGAAACTACCTGCGCATTACGTTAAAAGCATAAAATACAGTTTTCACAGCTTTATTTATTTTAAAAATGGACCCCTCCCAAAAAGCCTACACATCGATGAGCTGGTGCGCCATTTAAACGCATTAGCACTATACTAGTACTCAGAGGCAAGTCGAAATCAAAAAGTGCTGCCTATCGGCTGAGCGCTTAAAAGAGAAATCAACGTTGAATTTAATATCTCCGCAGGAAATCAGTGCGTGATCGACGCAAGAGGTGGCAATTTCAGATTGAACGCAAAGAGGGGTTGTTTCGCTACGTTTTCCGCCAGGGAAAGTTTTCACTGGAGGGCGAGGGGTGAGAATAGAGGTCTCTCTCCCCTAATAGGCCCTCTCGACGGAGATGAGCGAGACGAGGCGTCATTTGTCAGCTTGATTTTCAACCTGTTGCGTGTCCACACGGGTCCAAGTCCCTGAGCGTTGCGTTTGCGGCTGGATGGCGCTTGAACTTTTGACGATATTTCCCGCTCATCCGTTTAAATTATTCCCGTGGTCCCCTTCTTGTCAGCGAATTTCCCCTTCCGTGCACGTCTAAATGTCACTTCGGCTTTTTGTGTTGAGTTTTTGTCTCGTGGTTACACTGGAAAAAAAAAACACATTATATCTAGAGTTTAGACTCATGAAAACATTGACAAGAAAAAGGACACTTGATTCAATCAGATTAAAGCTTAAATCAAAAGGAAATCCGCTCAAATTAAGAGGCTTATTGGTTCTTGATTTAAGCTTAAATCTGATAGAATCAAGACTATTTTTTCTTGTCGATGTTTTTAAGAGTCTGGACTCTAGAGGCAATGTGTTTTTTTTTTCCAGTGTACAATCAGAACATATTTACTCAAAGCACCCCACTCTATTGACATAATGTAACAAACAGTGCCCATTAGCACAGTACAATTAAATTGTTGAAATAAAATTATGTTTTAATGCATTATAGAATTACGATTTTTCTACCACGAAATTGCAATAATTTCATAACATATTTACTCAAAGTAGTCGAAGCAATTCACACGTAAAAGAGGAGCAGTGCCCAAGTGACAAAGCAATGCAATTATTGAAATTATTATTAAAAATAAAATTACGATTTATTGCTCTAAAATACAATTTTTTACAATAAAATCACAATATTTTTACATTATTTGGTCGATGAGGTCCGATTTGAAACAATCATCATGATGAGTTTCATTTTTGAGAATGATAGGCAGTTTGTAATTCAAAGAAAAATTACAATTCATGTTAAATTTCAATAAAAAGCGCCCCTTCAATCAGTAGCAAGGCAACATGCATAACACTATGATGCAAAACCAATAATTTCACCACATAAATGCAATTACTACAAGCTGTGCCCTTGAAGTTAACGCTCCTCTAATGCAAGGTCTTTCCAGTTTTGGTATATAAAGTTTTGAACTTCGGATCACAAATGTTCAAGCTCTAATACATGTCGCTTAAAATTGTCCTCTACATACTGTCCTGAGGTCAAATGAGGTCAAATGAGGCAAATAAGGCTCTGGTGCTCTAAAGCTGCCTCACCATCCCATCTTTTCGGATCTGTGCACTCGTATAATGCTGGAATGTCTCCTATATTTACACAAGAATAAATGAGGAAAAGTTCATCAAGCACCGATGTTTGTGTCTGAGTAAGAACTGGCTCTTTAATTTAATCCTCATCTATTCCTTTTGTTTTTTGTTTTCTTTTCATTGTTTTTGGTTTATTTTATTTTATCTTTTCTTTTCGTTTTGTTTCAGAGATGTTAAGTGGTCTTTGTGATAATAACAATGAAAAAGGTGAGCATTATTTTATGTCTTTATTTTTCTTCTATGTGGTCAACCGTTTATAATACGATGAAACGGGAATTTATATTTAAGTTTCAAAGTTACGACTGGGTGCCTCTTGGTCTATGATCATCCCTCACTTAAAAATTTCGACTCGAAGTATGGTTACAATATGGGTTCAGAAACGCCCATTCAAACAATTCGAAAATCAAGATATTCCGGGAACTGCACACCTCCAAAAAAAAAAAAAAAAAAAAAAAAAAAAAAAAAAAAAAAAAAAAAAAATCGTTGTATTTCTTGCGTTACCCCATACATCTTTATTTTGCATTGGAAAAATATGCGAGCTCCACTGAGTATACAAAAATGATAGTTCTCAGAACCTCAAAAATTCATCGCTATAACTCTTTCATTTCGGTATGTTATAATCATCAATTACTTTCTCGGTCACTCAAAAATGCGCGTATCTCTCTATCTTTTATTCAATGTTTTTATTTTTGGGCGGTGTCACGTGTACTTTAATCAGGCCTGATTGAACCGTAATGCGTGTTTCCTCCAACAAACAATCTTTCGGGAAACAATAATTGATTAAAAAATATCCCCAGAAACGGTGTGCAAATTAAAAGAAAAAAAGGGAAACAAAATACTCGGCAATTAGGAGTTTTTTTTTTTTTTTTTATAAATTCATCGAAAGCAGTCATTGTCAAAGAAAATATAAAGTAAAGTTTTCTTCAGGGAACTTTTATCAAAATGAAAGCAAATTCCTGAAAATCTGTGCAATAATCATTTATGAAAAGAAAAAATGAAGTTTTAGACGTGTATTCAAGCTTAAATCCTCAAAAATTCGATGAATGTAGCGATTTTTCCAGCGCCTCATAAATCGCGGAGGCGGCTTCATATTTTAAGCTCAGCAGGATTTTAAAAAATAAAACCGCCTGTACCTGAATCGTGAAAGCTCATCCCGATGAGCGGACCCCACCGTTGCCAGAGATAATATCACCACACGCCTCAATTCACACACAATCGGAACGATCATTCGTAAAAGCGACAACACCCAACTCCATAGAGCGGTAAGCTGCTAGATAAACAAAATAAATCTGCCTCACAACGAAAAACCTCCCTCGCTCGCTTTTCTCCTTTTCTTAATAGTGTTAAAAGCGTAAAAATATGTCTCGAGTCGAGAGTTAGGAGTCGATTAAAAGCCCGGATGATAAAGGAGGCGACCCGAGAAAAATGGAAAAGTCTAAGAAAAATCCCCCTCCTCGTGGTGGTGTCCCCCCCCCCCCCTCGGGGCTATGGAAAAGTAACCGGGTAGAGGTTAGACTCGGCTTTGATTTGTTTCGGGACTGTTGCTGACTGCTCTATATTCAGCTCCCCGCCCGTCCGTTTATGCATTCAAAATCATCCCCCTCCTTTTTTTTCGGCTTTATTCATTGCGCCCGGTGCGAGGGCTTTTCGGCGGTTTCGGATTTATCGAGCGGCGCCTTTTTTCCCGCGCGCGTGTTTTTCGGGCGGCCTAATCGCCGCGCCCATTCCGCGGTGTCAAATTAATGGGGCAGAAAAAATGTGCAAGGGTTATCTCTGCGTTGGGTTGCCCCGGTCGAACGCTATGATTTACAGACGATTGCGTGACTGCCTGCGTGGTTGCCGCAAGGAGGCTCATCGGGGCTCCGAATCTTGATCTTTTAGCCCCAAGTGTAGCAGTGCCGTGGCGTGAATTGCGATGTATCGATTGTTATGCTATTTAAACCTATGGTAAAGAATCGATTATTAAGGTGTTCGCATGCGAAAACCCTGTTTATCGATCCTTTTCCATTGGTTTAAATGGCATAACAATCGATACATCGCAATTCGCGCCGCGCCACTGAAGTGTAGAGCTGCTCCTATCAGTGGCGTGATGTGCTTTGCGATATATCGATAGATCTGCCATTAAAACCTGTGGAAAAGGATCGATAAATATTATATTCGCAATTAACAGCTTAATAAACGATTCTTTACCATAGCTTCAAATGGGGAAATACCGATAATCGATCATTCACGCCTCGACACTAGTCCCTATTTATTGCCGTGTGAGGCTAATCCTAGTAGTATGATTTTTGCAAGCACACTGGCTTTGGTTGAAGTAGTGATTTTAATATCAAACGGGGCAATATTTAGGATGTAAGCACAAAAGTTACCCCAAATAAGGTTGCGTGTGACGGTAACTGTCTACGAATCCGTCTTGGTCAATCGAGTGATTACGGTGAATTCTACCATGAAGAATGTGAATCATACGAGCAGTCTTGGCGCTCACAGAAAAAGTTGTTAGACGTATTGATGTATCAATTTATGAAACCGTTTTCAGTTTTTTGTGCCTTGAAATTCCGTGGAATTCTCTTCATATGATTCATTGTTTCTCTGGAACGGAACTGTTTGAACGGAGTTGAAGTATACTTACTCCAAGAACCTACAACGACTTTTGATTTTATTATGCGTCATCCAAGGTAAAAACGCTGTATTTCCATTCTGCACTTATAGCAATTTTTTCCGATAGAATGTTTCATTGGAAAACACATTAACGATCATTCATTCTGCACGAACGTAGACAAATTCTGGTATACCACTCAGAACTTAAGCTGACAAAATAAAGCAACATCGCGATTTAAGTTTTCTCGCAAAAGTACACATAAAGTCTGGTTTAAAAATGCGTAATTTTTAATAGAGGTACGTTACAGCGTTTCTACTTTTAAAAGTAGCAAAGATAGTTGACACAATGATAGCTCTCACTCCTTTTCGCCCACAATCGGCACAACTCGATCTCATTCTCGTTGAACTTTTCCTCTCCTCCTACACTGAAAAAAAAAAGTAGCTTGGATCAAGCATGATGATTCTTGAATTTGCCGCCAAGAAATTTTTTTTTCTTGCTGTAAGCTGACTTTTTCTTGATACAAGAAAAATAATGCTTGGGTTAAGCAAAAAAGTAGCTTATATTAACCAGCAAAATTCTTGATTTAAGAAGAAATACTTCTTGGCGGCAAATTTAAGATTCTTTTTTTTCCAGTGTAATGTTCGCGTCTTTTTCCCAGACAAAATACGGGTGAAACGCCGATGCTGAGTGCCACTCCGACGACTCTCCAAGAACGAGCGAAGGAAAGGGAACAGAAGAAGGGGGGGGGGGTCAATTGATTTAGTGTTCGGGGAACAATTGAAGCGACCAGCCGGCGTGGCTCATCTCCCTAAGATAGACATCGCGAAGAACACTAGATTCAACCACCCTCTTGACATGGTGCCGGGAGCGCGCAGGGGGCGGGGCGGGGGGTGAGGAAGGGGTGCAGTATCGACTATCTTAACATGAAGATTACTAATAAATCAGAATTATGTTCCACTCGCCTGATCATTCCTCGCTCCGGGCCGGGGCCCCAGGGCTCTGGCGACACTATTTCGTCGTCTCCACCACGAAAGAACGTAACTCCATTACATTGATGCCAAACTTCCCCTCGCAAATTGTATTTTTACTGGGAGAATCTTGAGAATTATTAACTGAAAATTTCTCTGATTTTTCTTTAGATTCACGCAAAAATCAGACAAATTGTGGATAGAAATTGCTCGGGTACACTTTGTAAAATAAATGTATTGTTCGAGTCAATTTGGCAGCATTGGAATGGAGTTAAGTTTCTTCGTCCGGGAGACGACGTATTTATGCAGGCTCCGGCGCAGCGAGTTCCGGGCTCTCGGCCCTCTCCCTTCTTCGTCCCTTGGCTGACGAAAGGGCGTAACTACCATTTTGGAAGAGCCCGGGATAGCGTTGAGTTATATGGACGATAGGGTCCATCGCCAAGGGTAGTTACGCACGTATGCCAGAAGGGCGACGTTTTGTCTCGACCCCGCGTCCCAGCTTAAAAAAAAATATTCTCGTCTTCCGGGGAAGGACGTATAGCAGTGGCGTGGCGTGAATTGCGATATATCGATTGTTATGCCATTTAAACCTATGGAAAAGGATCGATAAACAGGGTGTTCGCAGCGAGCACCTTAATAATCGATTCTCTACCATAGGTTTAAATGGCATAACAATCGATATATCGCAATTCACGCCACGCCACTGCCGTATAGTTTTAAGTTGATGTGCCTCTCGAGCTTACTCAGTGTCTGTGCAGCATACGATTCAACTTTTAAAGGGTTACCAATGGTCAGGGTGATTCCTGTAACTGAGATTCTAAAGATGAAAAAATGATTTTTTTTTTTTATTATTTTTATTCATTTTTTACTTGATATCATTAAAGTTAATATTCTAGCATTAAATCCGTTTTCTCCCTCATCTTCTATATTTTTCTCTTTCCCGTCTTCTTCGTCGCATTCTCCTCCCTCCTTTTTTCCTTTTCTCTCCTGTTTCCGTTCTTCTTCTCATTTTTCTCTCCCTTCTCTTCTTCTCTTTCTTTTTCATTGATCCTGCTTCCGCTTTTCTCTATTTTCCAATCTAAGCGTTTCAATTTGACTAATGGAGAGTAAAAGATGAATAAGCGAATTTTCGCGATCGAATATCATTCATCAAACGAATTGATCAGTGCTGAGTGATGCCGATGATCGGTGATAGCAGGAGCCAATCAGAGTTCAGATTTTTTTTTTAAAAATGAATTAAGGAGAAAATGAGAAAATACGGAACATTAAAACACAGCAAATTGCGAAAACACCAGACTTGAATTGACAAAACACTAAAACAGAAAGAAATGACGAAACAAAAATTCTGGTGAAGGATGAAGTTTCTGACATCGATTGCATCAATTCAAAAATCGAATTCAAGTCCCGAGGTGTATTCAAAATTTCAATTGACGACTGATTGATTCAATAAGTTGAAATACGTCATCATCCTATATTAATCAGTTGTTTTCAAAAGGGAACTGTTCTATTTCTTGACGAGTCTTAGTTAGCATGTCCTCTTATTCAACTCAAGGCTCATGCAAAAATGAACTTGTTCCCATTTGAAAACAACTGATTCATATGATATGTGCTATTCCAAATATGCGAGTCTCGGTCTTTCC